GTGTAGGGACTGTGACAGAGACATGGGGAGGACTCTCCTCTGGTCCTGTGTGTACTGGTGTAGGGACTGTGACAGAGACATGGGGAGGACTCTCCAGTGGTCCTGTGTGCACTGGCGTAGGGACTGTGACAGAGACTGTGACAGAGTCGTCTAATCTGGAACAGCTGTGGGACGTCATGCTGCAAGAGCTTGCACTCCCAGCTAGGCCTGCTGTTCTTTATGATAACACTGGGATCATCATGACATTCCCACGTTTCGGAGAAATCAAGACAAAACGTGCAGATGGAGACAAACATGCTCAACACAGCCCAAAGCACTGTAGCACTGCACTATTTTTTATCAACAACTGACAGCAGCCGGCCAGCTTTTATCAGAGGCAGGGAGATCCGAGCTGTTCTGGTCATTCCCATGCCTCTGCTGTGGTCTCACTGCTGTTTCCACATCTGTATCAGGGTTCACTGTACCACAGCCTCACTGGGGTTTACTGGGCTCATACCACAGCCTAACTGGTCTTTACTGGGCTCTTACCACAGCCTCACTGGGCTTTACTGGGCTCATACCACAGCCTAACTGGTCTTTACTGGGCTCATACCACAGCCTCACTGGGCTTTACTGGGCTCTTACCACAGCCTCACTGTGCTCTTGCCAAAGCCTTACTGGGCTTTACTGGGCACAGTCTCACTGGGCTTTACTGGGCTCATACCACAGCCTCACTGTGCTCTTGCCACAGCCTTACTGAGCTTTACTGGGCTCTTACCACAGCCCCACTGGGCTTTAATGTGCTCTTGCCACAGCCTCACTGGGCTTTAGTAGACTGTACTGTGCTTATACCATAAATGTGCCGTCCTTAATTCATTTCAAAGTGGCTGTAAAACACTTCACTGTGCTTCTAGCCTTGTGTGTGGCACTAAGCTCTTAAGAGGAGGAAGACAGACTGATGTTTCTCAGTTGAAGAATGAGATCACTTCTAATGGCTGTTTTTCACTTGTGTCGTTAGTCATTACCATCCTTCTCTCTCTCTGAATGCTCAGTACAGTCATAAGGAAGAATTTAAAGCCTGCCTAATTAATTAATTCTTGGGAAAGCCAAACTGGCTATTTAGAAAGAATAAATAAAAGCAGAGAAATAAGTTACAAGGCTCACGACTGTGATGCTGTGATGGGTATTGAGACTTTTTATTTATTGCCAAGGATTAGAATTGATTTTACTCTATATTCTTTTACACAGGACTTGTGTGTTGGTTTGTGGGGTGGGGGGCTGTGTGCTGGTGTGTGTGTGTTGGGCTATGTGCTGGTGTGTGTGTGTTGGGCTGTGTGCTGGTGCTTGTGTTGGGCTGTGTGTTGGAGGGCTGTGTGCTGGTGTGTGTGTTGGGCTGTGTGGTGGGGGTCTGTGTGCTGGTGTGTGTGTGTTGGTGCTGCGTTGTGGGATATGTGTGTGGGGGGGGCTGTGTGCTGGGTGTGTATGTGTGTTGGGCTGTGTTCTGGTTTGTGGGGGGCTCTTTGCTCTGTGTGAGGGGGTGGGGTGTTGTGTGCTGAGTGTGTGTTTACTGTATACTGGTGCTGTGTTGTGGAATGTGTGTGTGAAGGGGCTGTGTGCTGGGTGTTTGTGTGGGTGGGTCTGGGTGGTATGTACTGTTTGTGGGGGGGCTGTGTGGGGGTTCATGAGTTTTCTTACTTGCAGATTCCATCTGTTTTTCACAAAGGCTTTTTCAGAATCACAGCCCCTGGGAGCTGGCATTCTTTCGCGTCCCAGGAAATTCTTTTTCCCGATTTAACCCGAGACTAAAAAACCTCGACTCAAGACCTCGACCACAGAGGCTGTGGGTCCAAAACTGCAAAGCCTTCTGCTCCTATGAAAGCTTCATGTGGTATACGTTTGAGGTGTGATATTCCCATGTCATTTCACAGCAATGTGCCATTCCTTACCGTCACTAAAGCTCAAAGCTTACCTCCACTTTACACTTTACTGCGCTTTTACTCTCCTATAAACTCTATACTCTATAACTCTGTATCAGTATCACTCAGCCTGTAGTTCCCCACTCCAAATGTTCTTATGACACATTAGTTGGCTGCATGTGAAATATGACATATAGGAGGCATGTAGCCAGCACAGCACATTGTTTTAATGTTTAGTTGCTTACTGGCGTAGTCTGTATAGTGCATGAAGCTGAGCCAACCATGGTCCAGAATTGCGAATTTGCTTTGGGGCTGGTTATGAATCTGGAACTGCCAATTATGTTAGCATTATACACCCAACCCCTTGGGAAACACCACTGGTTTTAAGGCTTGGGTCTCTGGTAGTGAATGCAACGTGTGGACAAGCTCCTTTAACATGACATTCATGTCTTTGCGTGCTGTGAGCTCAGCAGCGCCTGACAGGAGAGTAGGCATGGATTGGAGGAGCAGGGAGTCCCTCTCTGACATCAAAGCGAGCACTGCAGGCGCCCGACTAGTGAAACGACCCCAGCACAGACCTGTGACACCCGAATCATAGATCTCAAACTGTCCCAGCCTGAGGCCAACTCAGCCCCAGGTCTGTTGCACAACCAGCAACATCGCACACTGATCCTTCTTAGCACACTGACCCTCTTAAGTGATTAAGAGGGCAGCTGCAGCAAAGTCCCCAAGTGCAATGGAAGAGAGGTGACCCAGTGATGCTAAAGAGCTGCCCACACCAGTGCCGCAGTGTGAAAGAGACGACTGCTTATTTAAACGGCGAGCATGTGCCTCTGCTGGAGAATCAACAGGATTCTGTGTGTGTTTTCACCTACACCGGTATCAGTTTCCCTGCAGAAGGAGTGGGCTTGGGAGGGGCTTTGTGTTTTGGCATGATGGCCGAGGCAGTGGCGATGATGGCAGTCATTGCTCACCCGCTCTGCTGGTGTCGTTCTCTGCGGGGGCAGCCGGAGGGGGTCCGGGGGGTGAGGGTGAGGTGGTGGGTGGCGGCGTGGGCTTGTCAGGCTCTTGCGGGCGGCTCTTGGATGTTTCGATGCCTTTCACACGTCGGGCATGCCGGTTCCCTTTGTAGTGAGCCTCTGCCTGGCTCTGAAAAACAACAAGGGCAAAGAGAGATGCCAGTCAGGGTGCAGTACAAATAAGGCACTGT